CCATGTTGGCATGGGAACGCCAAGCCCGGCACAGTAGCGGCGGCTGATTGAGTAATGGCACAGCCGACCGCCGCGGCAGGCCACTTTGCACTCCTGCCTGCAATGCATGCACCCTTGCATGTGCAGCCTTCTGGTATTTTCATGTGCCTGGGAGATGTGCGGGCATCGGGGCCCATGTGCCCCATGCCATTTGAGTGCCCGGCGGCGGCGCTGCCTGCCGCCGGGAGCCCGCACCAGCATCGGCACCGGTCGGCCTGGCAGGCCTAAGCTGCTAAGGATCCCCACGTCCCCCACCACGTTGTGGGGGTTGCGTGTCCGGCAGGACGGGGAGCGGGGCCAGGGTGGGGTGACCCTGGGACGCTCAGCTGGGGGGAGGGTGGTCGGAGCCATGGAGAGGGTGCTCCATGGTCCACCCCCTCTCTTGATGCCCCTTGATCACGTGTGCCCCCTGCCCAAGGTCTGCTCACGCGGCCTATCATAGCGGGGTGACTGTAACACCTGCTCCATCGCCATGCTGGCGTGCGGGTTCATGGACTGCTTGCTGAGCTCTGCCACCGCAGCCGCCACCAGGTCCGGCGGCACGTGCAGCAGCTGGTACACGGTCCCCACGGCATGCAGCACGCCGGCCTGCCAGTGGCCCGCCAGAAGGAGCGGCGAGAAGATGAGGCTTACGCCGCATGCCACGCTGATGCCCACCACGGCTTTCGCATGCAGCACCACCATGCGCTGCTCTGCCTTGAACTTGCGCCTCAGCCGCAGCTCCTCCTCCCGCCTGTTGGCCAGGTTAGCATCCTGCAGGTGCAAGCGAGAGCTGGGATCAACAGGCCCCTCCTGCCTGCCGCTCAACGCACAGCTGCTGCCCACCGTTGGCGAGCGCACGCCTGCTTGGCCGTGTTTGCTGCAGCTGGTCAGCTGGTGGGGGTACCCACCGGTGGAGACTCCTGGCACCGCACTTTCGCGCCGGCGCCGACCAGCCTGCCGGGCCCGGGCCTCAGCCTGCCCCCCCTCTGAGGCAGCGTGTGCACCACTGGCACGATGGAGCGCGGGTCAGCAAAAGGT